AGACAGTGAGTGAAGCAGTCATGGACCGAACTGAACTGCCTCCGCACTGGGTCCAGTGGCGAGCTTTTGTGAATACAGGAATTAACCCTAGGATTCCATTGAAAAGGGATCCATTTCATCAAGGCAGCACCTAACTTAATACTTATCTACTATCTTTACAGCCTCTAGTTACTCAGGAGAATACTGTTCAATTCTTGACTTAATTTCAACACATGAAGCGCCTAACATGTGCTACTTTGTCTATGGAAGAAAACTCCTGTAATTTCTTGTCACATTTACAACCTCTTTCTATGAGAGAGATCTCTCCTAGATATGATAGTTTCGTATCCTCTCGCTCCTGTATATATGGGCTGTTGGCCAACGGCGAGTCTATGCAGAACGTATCTGCGTCCCTGCTGCTGTCGAAGTGTTCTCACAATGCACACACTGCAAGAACAAGCGCCGTATTACATTACACGGCCGTCAGCTACTATCTTCAGCCCGGCGGGAATGACCAGAGCGTCTTTTATTAGTGGGTTATTTAAGGCTGATATTTCAACTGCTGATGCTATGTACAGTAGCGTGAGATCGGAATACCGTGAATGATCAGTCAGCAAGTATCTCAACAGAGGAGGCGCAGGCCTTTCTCGAAAAAATCAAGAAAAATTCGCATACAACGGTAAAACGTGGCCTGGCTGAAATTACAATCGGATACCTCGCAAGTACAGGTTTCGATGGTTTACCGCTGCAGCAACCTGATGTGCGAAAAAAGTATTTAATCATAGTACATGGGGCTAAGCCAATGTGACAGGGCCGCGCCATAGCTCAAGCGGTTAGTCGCTGGCTTTCCATCATCGGCGGCCCGGGTTCGATCCCGGGTCTGGTCAAGTGGGATTTTTGGTGGACAAAGTGGCGCTGCGGCGGGTTTTCTCCGAGTACTTCAGTTTCCCCTGCCAATCTTCGTTCTACCAATTGCTCCACAATCACCCTCACCTATCATCTGAGGCTGGTACAATATGCCAGAAGTGGCCGCAGTACAAGGGACTTACAAGGCAATGATCTGATCCGACATGTCGAAACCTGCCCTGATTTCTTTTTCACTGCAAGAGTATACACAACAAAATCCACTGTCAAAATTTTAGCTGCTAATACGCACTGCAAGTATTTTTTAAAAATTGCCGAGTTTACTCATTTTTTCCGTACGCGGAATCGTTTGTACCAGAGGTTTGTACAACCCCAGCCTATGCTGTGAGTCAGCAGTGTTGCGTACAGCAGCTAAAATTTTGATAGTGGATTTTGTTCTGTGTACTCTTGCAATGAAAAAAAGAAATCAGGGCAGGTTTCGACATGTCGGATCAGACCAATCCCTTGTTAGTCCCACCCCACTAGCAATAAACCAAAATAATAATACATATTAAAATAGTGTATAAATTTCTCTAATCCGTGCTACATTTCATCTTATCACATTCGATGACTTACAACAATAAACTACAGCGAGAAGTAAAGTCTATACATTTTCACGGTATGTAATGTTCTACATGAAGTTATTATATAGTTCGGTCCCTAAGCCAGAAACTCCTTTCAATCTGACTCTACTTCTACATCCTTTTTCACAAATGAACGCACAAAATAACGATCTCATACATTATATTCCTTACCTCATACAGACACAAATTACGTCCAAAAACTTTCGCAATGACGAAGTCAGAAACACAAATAAATTAGATTCTAATGGGTTCTGACGTTGGTGGATGACACACAGAATTACTGGGGTTTCTTACTTTTTCCGTCGTTCGGAATTCTAGGTAATAGAGGACACGACGTTTCGGAAACTGGGTCTCTTTCTGTCTTCTGGTGAGGAAGGAAGACACCTACTCAGTTGGGCCCCTTAGAAAGAGCTAATCTCAATCACTGGACAACTCCTGTCACATTTACCCAGCTACTTCAACATACAGAACTAGGCTAGTTCGGTAGGCGATAACAAGAAGCTAAAAAATAAAAATTGTGACAGAGCACGCACATGCGTGGAACTACGATAGAAAGGAGGTATAAATAAATTAAGCAATCTCCTAGTATTGGCATGGTGCAACACAAATGAAAAACTGCGAATATTTGAAATCCAGAATGAGCAAAACAGTGGATGACGAGTTACTCCTACGTTTGATTGGCAACAGCATTTTTAGCTTAACACGTCATATCGGTTTTGAACTCCTAGCACTGAAGCAGCAGTTACCGATAACTCATTTACAAATAATATAGGCCTACTGTTAGTACACTTCTATCTTTTGGATATAATGTAGTGTCGTCCGTTGGAAGTCAACCGACGTTTCGGACGAATATGTCGCCTACATCTTCAAGAACGAAGAGTAAGCCATGCAAGAAACCGGCGTGAAGCAGGTGGCAAGCAGAGTTCACCATGGAAGACTGAACTCTTCGTAACTATCGCTTTTACAGCCTCAAACCCTACCTGCTGTTAGTAGTTCCATGTTCCATATCGAGTCAAGTCTTAACGAATTAAACTACTGTAAATAGCAAAAAATATTAAGTATGATGTGTGAGTTTCAAAGTACAAACTACTACACTGTCATGCCAAGAAGATGTTTCGTATTTCTCCGCATAAAATGGTCTTCTTTAGAAGTGGCATGCAGAAATCTTACATTATCAACAACACGGTCGCTTTTCATCGCCATGCAAATTAGGATCTACTGACGGTAGTGTAATAGAAAGGGGAATAAATTTGTGACGGAAATGTAAATTTCGGAATCCCGAACATGAGTACGATATTCCCGCGTCCACTCCTTCATTTGTTCAACTCCCTGAGACCATCGATGAAAATTTCCGATATCCTATGTTAATTAATTACGTTTCGTCGATCTAAGTACAGTCTCGGAATTTTAAGTGAAACATTTTGTACATTGCCAATGCTATATTTAAACAAGTATACGGAACAATTTCAAACTATGACCAAGTAACGCTTATTCAACCGAATGGAACGTCTACTGAAAGAATAACAGTAAACAAAGATTTTGGAAGAATATGGAAAGAAGCGATGGTTACCTAATTTAATGTACTATCCCAGCACTTAAATTCGTCAGAGTTTTTATCTGAGGGCACTAGTTCCAACAAAAACACGTGGTTAACAAAAATAATGTCGAAGAAAGCAGTCTTCTGGGACGTGGCACCGTGTATATGTGGTGTTAACCGACGTTACGGAGGAACGTATCGCCTCCATCTTCAGGGTAGAAGGAAAAATATAAGAAATCCGCAACCGAAGAGACCGTGAGAACCGGCACATTGTACAACCGGTTCTCACGGTCTCTTCGCTTGCGGATTTCTTATATTTTTTCCTTCTACCCTGAAGATGGAGGCGATACGTTCCTCCGAAACGTCGGTTAACACCACATACACAACACATTCTTGGCATGTCACTATAAACCAATCTCATTTATGCACAAACCCATACTGAAAAATTACCCTGTGCCACCCGGACAACATGGTTTTGAAGTCCGCACTGTACTGACGTTGTAGGGGCGGCTGACTGAGATTTCAGTCCATGGAGACCCACAACGTTCTTGCGTATCCACATGATACATGTGTGTGTGTGTGTTCTGTACTGCACTTGTATATTACGAACTTGTTAATTAATTACCCTGAGGGGATGGTGTCGATGCTTGGCAACAATGACGCCGGGGAGATCTTCTGAAGAAGAGAAACAGATGACAAAATATGAGACGCTGAGCCAATTTTCCACTTTTGTTAATCCAAACAAACAACACCGTAAGACGCGGTTCATTATCCAGAACCGCAATGCGAATTTCACCTAGTAGAACGCACAGTACGGAGCACTCTCTCTCTTTGCGAATTTCATTAAACGAATTTAACGCTTCCGGGTACAGTTTTCTGCTGTTTCCGGCTTACAACCCTCACTCCGGATCTGATACCTCGCTTCTGCATCCATGTAACAAGCACAAACTTCAAGGCAAGCAGGACTGAAGGAAGTTTATTTGCAGGAGAAACAAACCTGTTTACAAATGGCAACGCGGAAATGAACTAGTCAAACAGGGGAAGTGAGACGACAACAGTGAAGATGACACATTCAAAATCAAGCTGGAAATGAGGACACAAGATTAAGTAAAATTCCTTCATATATGGGTACAAAACACTGAAAATTTTGCTTCAGAGAACAGATGAATATGCAGGCAACATACAAAAAAAAAATATTACGAACCTCAAACCTAGTGCCGTATTGTTCAGACAAACCCACATAAAGAAGTGCCCCAAAAAACTATTTTGATTGTAAACACCCCATTTCTTAGCACACAGCACTACCTCAAACATTTCACATAAACCTACAAACACAGATCGTATGGTTTTATAAAGATTTCCCTTTCACATTACGAACACAATCACAGTTAACAGGAAAAAAAGAATCAGAAACGGTTTCCTCCTTGTGTTTTACTCTTGGTCTGCAGCATAAAGGCATACGAAATCGTCTGGTATGTTCAGAAACACAGCTAAAATGAGATGTATTGAAATGACAACAGGACACAGAAACACGTTAGATGGTGTCCGATACAGCCATGTGCAGAGAAGCCACAAGTTATATGACATCAAGATGTCACACAAACTCAATGTGACATGTTATCTGACTTGCTTGCTATTCATGTCGAAAAGAAAACACGCGGCAATAATTGAACAAAGCACACAAGCGTTTTGCAGCTGACATTCAGATAACTTCAACAGGAACACTTATATCCGAATATACTCGCAAGCATATTTAAACGTGTTGAAACATTACATAAACCTTTACCGGGAGAATAATCGGAAATCCTTCAGGAGTCAGAACCGATCATTCTCGACTTTAACGTCTGGGACAATGATTTTAAAACTAGATTCGATCACTTTTTCTTAAACACTGTTGTTCCTAAAAATTATCCGGAATTTTTCTGCAAGATCGAGGCTAACATTTGGACAGGGTATGTACCGTAATATTTGTTTGAAAACAAAGCAATTTCAATCACCTTTTCAAAATCACTGTTGCACCGAACATCATCCAAGATACTTTCGTAAATCACGATCCTTCACAACTTCACATATTATCATGTAGGAAATCAGTGCTTTCACTCTGTATTTGCTTCAAATACCTATAAACACTGCCGTACCAGGTTCATTCCGAATCCTTCACAAGCAACGACCATCACTTCTTGAACCTTTCACAAGGGTCACACATTTCACAGGTCCGTCCGTGCGTATTACATGGACATGTGTACGCTTCAGCGAGTATATGTATAACATCTCATTTTCGCACTGGCCCTGTTTACCAATTTAACAGCACATACACCAACTCACACGTCCTCACCGACCGCGACCACACATCAGACTGCAGCTCTAGCGCTGTGTGTATGTGTGGAACTCTCGTATCACAAGTAGCTACTGCTCCTAGTCGCTTGGCGGAGACGTCGACATACGAATCCAACCGACCGACGCGGCGGCGTCCCGGTAAAATTCAACGCTCGCTAGCTCGGGACCATTCGGTGTGGTTCGTACCACCAACCACCGCAGCGTGTGACCGGGTAGAGGGGAGAGCAGATTTGTTCAAGCCCAATTCTTTCTCCTTTCCTCGCGAGCGGTCCCATGACCTCAGCACTGGGATCATATCAACACTGGGGGTGCGCTGTGTCATGTTCACTGAAGCTACACAGACCAGGAGAAATCTTAAGGAACACGTGTACATTTTGCTGCCTTCGTCTGCAATGCACTTTCCCCATGTTTTTCACTGTCTCTTGCACTAAGTGTTGCTATTATTCAAAACCTGGAGACGACAAACCTGAAATAAACAGTCCGCTTGGGAATCCTGGGCATATGCGGGAGGATAACGAAGGGTATGACAAAGCACAGGGTCTGAAGACGGGATTGGATGCAGGTACCTAAGGTTAAATTCCAATGGCAGGTTCTTATAAGACCAGTAATGGCCCTTCATTTCTATTCGTATAAAAAGCGAAACATGTTGACTCTCCTGAGCAGTCTCTGGATTCTCAGTAAGGGCTAAGTTCCATGAAAGTCTTCCTGCTGATGTTTTTTTTTTTATTTCTAGTGGGGTGGGACTAAGTCCATTGCACTGCGGCCACTTCTGGCCTATTGTACCATCCCCAAATGATAGGTGAGGGTGATTGTGGAGCAATTGGTGGAATGAAGATTGGCAGGGAGAAAACCTGCCCCAGCGCCACATTGTCCACCACAAATCCCACTTGACCAGACACGGGATCCAACCCTGGCCGCCGCGGTGGGAAGCCAGCGACTAACCGCTTGAGCTATGGCGCGGCCCTGCTGCTGATGTTACTACTACTACTACTACTACTACTACTACTACTACTACTACTACTACTACTACTACTACTACTACTACTACTACGACCACCACCACGAATGATTATCTAGCTTGTGACAATGATGGAGTCTCTACTTATATACTTCATTAGTGTTCTGAAAGTATAGTCTGCATACAATGACAACTGAACCACCGCTCGGTTTCCTCTTGGTCACCTATTAACAAAAAGTAATTTTGGGGGGTTTCGAAAAGAAGCAGCAGACGAGTATAATTTACATAAATTTGCATGGCATTTTTGCAAGAATCGCAAACATATGTATGTCAGGCTACTTTTACTCTATTAATTTGAATATCAGAGCTGATACACAATTGTCCTAACAAAAGTAACTCTTTATAATTCGATAAGTCAACACATTTCTTACCGAGTGATATTTCTGTATATGTACTTATTTTCAACACAATTCCATATTCTACGGATGAGGCTTAATGGCCCATGGTGTATAAACTAGTTTAAAAGCACAGTAAATTAATAAAGGTGTATTACAGGATATGAGAAATAGAAGCCATGAATTTCTGATAATTCTGGTGCCAACAGAACATCCGTACCTCCTACACAAAGGGGCCTAATCGAACAACTGAAAGAAAACAAAGGACGTCTTAAGTGGCTAAAGGAATCAAATTGGTTTAACAACTACCCTTTCGTTCTCGAAACCATAGTTCATAACTTGAAACGTAAATATAAACAACTTAAATATACGAAACTATAATTTTACCTGTTTTTTATATCGCTGTGGGATGTTCCGAGCACGGTAATAAACCTTCGGGTTCCATAAAATGCTGGGATAATTTTGAGTAACTCAGCGACTGGCAGTGTTTCAAGAACGACTCACCTCAGTGGAGTTAGCTAGGTAGTTATGTAGCTAATAATTTGAACGCCAAACTCGGTGTCCTGCCCGAAAGAAAGTTTGTTCGTTGTTAGGGTCTGAAAACAGGGTGCTAGGGAAAATATTTGGACCTAAATGACAACAAGCAAAAAGGAATAGCATAAATAACATTACATAACGAGCTTGTTTATGGTTTGTGTTCTTCATCAAATATTATTAGAACGACCAAATCATCGAGGAAAAGACTGAGTTGGAAAGGTACACATACGATAAAAAAGTAAAAGTATCCCTGTAACAGGCCGTGGAGGCTNATGGAGTTAGCTAGGTAGTTATGTAGCTAACAATTTGAATGCCAAACTCGGTGTCCTGCCCGAAAGAAAATTTGTTCATTGCTAGGGTCTGAAAACAGGGTACTAGGGAAAATATTTGCACCTAAATGACAACAAGCAAAAGGAATAGCATAAATAACATTACATAACGAGCTTGTTTATGGTTTGTGTTCTTCATCAAATATTATTAGAACGACCAAATCATCGAGGAAAAGACTGAGTTGGAAAGGTACACATACGATAAAAAAGTAAAAGTATCCCTGTAACAGGCCGTGGAGGCTCATAGAGTTGTGAGATGTTGAGGTCCCCACATTTTCTAGACAATCGGCTCATAGATGATGTCAAGGTTGTCAGCCTTACATGCCGGCCGTCCTTTACCCCTAAGAACATTCCAAGAATATTTCTGGTACTCATTTCTATCAGGGGCTGAGTCGACCCCAGGGCCATAGTGGGGTTGGAAGGTTTAAGTAAATTGAAAAATATCCAATGACCTAATCAGGATTCGATCTCACGACCTTCCGGCTTGTAGAATAGTGCCTGAACCAACTACGCTACCGCGTGCCTCCGGTACACATGCGATGAATACATAAGAATTATTAGTCGTACAACCTGATCTAGACATAGAGGGCAGGATAATAATGAAATTGTTCTTAAATAAATGCTGTAGTATGTAAAGGTTCGAACCGAGTTCTACTGCCTCAAGATGGGCTTTCATATGGCGATATTGTGAACAGTGTACGAGACTTCGCCTTCCGTAAGAGGCGAAGAATTTGAAGGCCAGCTGAACGACCACAATATTATCTTTGTTCATGGTATTATTGTGAAATCAAATCAATATTCATTCTGTATCTCCCTCTTATATGTAACTTCCCTGTCTCTGAAGGAAGCATTCGTTTGTTCTGCGCATCGAAAGATGTGTGCTGGATGACAATGAATTATGGGTTAAGCTCCACACAGTGACTATTTCACGGTCGAACATGCATTGAGGGAAACCAGGTAGAACACAATTAGAGCACACCAATTGTTTATTCATATTTTCACTCCCCCTCCTCGCATACCAAACACATCTCCTGTATGTTTCAGACACGTTTCAAAATTTCGGGTTCGTCTTTTTATCGATTGTCATGTGGTTACAGCGCGTTTTGTTCACTGATGCGCATCATATCAAGCACAGATACACGGCATGGTTGCAGGCTGATAATATCCAGTCATATCCGACTTCAGTTTTCATTCTGTGTTTTCGTACTCTGTGTCACTGAACTGAACATGGCCCACGTTAACCTGGCCATTCCACGACTTCCAGCACAGAACCAAATATCTGAAATCAGGTGTGCAAACCCATCTGACCAGATCCACAGCATACTGCCGTTTCAGGAGTTCAGAATTGTTCAGAGACTCATTAAAATCCCTGAATTTCATACGGCCCTCGTGGTTCGTCACTGGATCCTGTACTGAGCCAGTTCAATCTGATCCTAATTTCCACACATGATTACCGTTCAGAATGTTCCTAATATCCTTAAATCTACATCTCGTCTCCGAAGAACTCTTTCACTGAAGTTCTGTAACAAAATGGCACGTGTCTGTTCCACTTTCATGCAACACTCATCTTCACAGAAGTCGGAATTTCTCGGGTTCGAGTCCCAGTGAGGTGGATTTCTTTTTCAATTGACCTAATCCTTCCAGCCGCACTATGGCCCTGCGGTCTACTCAGCCTCTAACAAAAATGAGTACCAGAAATCATCCTGAGAGTAAAGGGCAGCAAGCGTGTAAGGCTTGACAACTTTACCGCCATCTGTGAGCCGATTGTCTAGAAGATGTGGGAGCCTCGACGTCTCACAACCCTATTGACCTCCACGGCCTGATAAAGGGATAGCTTTATCTTTTTTTAACACCATGGGAGACCTAAGCTTATCGTTTATGCCAATAATGTTAATGTATTGGGTTCAAATATACATATATATAGGAATTATGTCAACCGTCAACATGACAAATACTCAGTTCTAATATTCGACCTATATTGCTGCTACATAATGAGAAACACAGAAACTATATTAGCCACTATGTAAGAACGTTAGTCCAAAAGCAAACTCTGTGCACATAATGTGCACCTCCTGTCGCCAGAATACAAAGAAAACCGGTAACAAAAAGATAATTAATAGTTTCTTTCAAAATGTGGCGAAGTTCAAATGTCTGGGAACGACAATAACAAATGAAAAATGCATTTATGAAGAGAATAAGAGTAGGTTAAATTCGGGCAATCCTTGCTCTCATTCAATTCATATCTTTCGTCTCCCAGTCTGCTATCTAAAAACGTAGGGATTAGGTGGAAATATAATTTTGCCTGTGGTTTTGTATGGGTGTGAATCTTGGTCTCCCTCTTTAAGGGGAGAACATAGTCTGTGGGTATTCGAGAACAGAGTGCTGGAAATAATTTTTGGGCTTAAGAGGGATGAAGTAAGTGTAAGGTGGACAGAAATACGCAATGAGGAGCGAAATGTCACTATAATTATCAAATCAAGGAAGACGAGACAGCTAGGGCATGTAGTACGCATGAGAGAGAAGTGCAGAAACTGAAAGAACAGTAAGGCCTATCCGCAGATGGTGCGGAAATGAATCGTAAAGAAAGTGGCTTCATCTGAGTCAGGATAGGGACCAGTGGTGGACTCTTGAGGTGAATCTTCCCATATTTTTGTGGATTTCTCGAGCAGCAGAACCAGGGGCGGATATAAAGTTGTGTGGGCCCTGGGGCAGTCAAAATGTGAGGCTCATACCAGTAAGAACAAATTTGGGTTATGAGAATTATTTTCTTTTGGTTGTTTTTGCTGCTGATGCTGTTCTCATTTGTTAACAATAACTAAGGTACAGGCTAAATTCCGTGATTTTAGAGTAGAAAATGTCTCCGTAA